ACACACACACACACACACACACACACACGGCCAGAGGGAATACACAGGAATCAAATTAGGTACATCGGTGGCAGGATACAGTGTAGAAGCTCAGTAACATCAGGCAGAACAAGGCCAGAGGCCGTGGTAGACAAAACCCCCTGTTACTCATTGGGAAGCTCAGGTTGAACTGAAGAAGGTTAAAACAAGTCCAGGAGAGTCAAAATAGGATCTCGAGTATGTCCTGCCCAAACCTAGAGGCATCTTGAGAACAGAGCTGAGTACCAGAGACATAAAGCCAAACAAGAGGCAGGTGACCCCAAGGGCATTACATTTGAAGAAAGCAGAAAGGCATGAGGAAGATAGAAGAGAAAGAAAAAGCAATGTCAAAAGAGGCTCTGAAACTTGGTCTTGAACTAGAGTGGCTCACGTAAGTGAAGAAACGATGGATTAAAGGATTGCCCGGGAGATTTCAGGGAGGAGCTTGAGCAGGCACAGTTGTCTCAGGATATTTGCGAGACTTAGAGTTAGAAAAGCAAAAGGCAGAAACACGCGCAGTATTTTCAAGCTGAAAGGACTGAAGACAATGTGTGAGTCCGGGTCGACTAGAGAAACAATTCCAAGGACACTCATATATGTATAAGAAAGAGCTTTTTATCAAAGAGTAATTGTATATCAAGCAAATATCCCATCCCTGTCTGTAAGTCTGATATTAGCCCGTGACTTCCTCTTCAGACTCATGCAGCACATGCAGTAATGCAGAACACAGGCAGTGGCGCAGTGTCTTGTGGGTCCAGTGGCGGAGGAAGCATCCCAGCGCTGGCCCCTCCAGCTCTCTGACTGTGGCCCCTCAATGGGAAGGTGAACTAGAGAGAGCAAGTGCGGTGTGTGGCCTGCTTCCAGGGAGCGAGAGAGAAGTTCCCAGAATCCCTCATGAGGCCATGCCCACAAGGAGGCATCCTCAGGCTGTGACCTGATTGACAGGCTAGACTCCACCCCTACACTTAAATTTATCAAGTGGACGTGGGCTTATGTAACGACCACAGACAAAATGCAAGCCTCGTGTTACCATAGCGAAGAATCCTTTGGGCAAAATATTGAATGATGCAGGAAGCCTCCCAAAAAGCATAGAAAGAATACGGTCTGCACCCAAAAGAAGTGGTGATGTTCACCCCTTTTAGGGGACTCCTGTGATCAAGAGCAGATGGTGCCGAAGGAAGACGTCCAAGTGCTGCTGAAGCCATCCGTGACAGCCGCAACCCCAGGTGCCGACAGAGCCAGGAGGACTGTTTCCACAGACGGATGCGGGGCTAGAGGAGCTCGCCTGGCTATGCCCAGGAATCTGGAAGAGAACGGCTGACCAGGGGACTGGAGGACATTCACATCCACAGAAAGGAGCCCCACAGGATGCAGGCATTTTCATGAGTAGCACCCACAGTGCAGTGCTGCTGAAGACAGTCCAACAACGGCTGTGGCAGCGCCTGCCAGAAATTCAAGAAGGAATCAAAGTGGATGTGAAAGGAGGATGCCAGTGCAGATCTAGTCAGGTGGACCTAGGCGGAAAGCAGGAAAGAACAGAAAGATGCTGGCTTGTGTTTCACAGGGCATTAAAGGCATTCAGCAATGCGGATCATAACAAACGATGGACATGGACACCGTTGAGATGAATGGGAAGTCCAGGCGACCCCACAGTGCTCATGGGGAGGCTGTGCATGGGTCAACAGGCAGTTTTGTTCAAAGAGAACAATGTAACAATGCACAGTGGAGGCCAGCTTGTATCCTTTTGCCAAACTTACGCTTTCTGCATGTTACGGAAGCAATCTAAGAAGCTCGTCTGAATGCAGTCTGGGCAACGGGATGGGAGGAAGGTCGTTCACAGCCTGCGTTATGCAGGCGACACCACCCTCCTTGGACTTCATTTTGTTTGGCTGCTGCCTCCAGGGGCATCGAGTGTGGAGCGGTCAGCCAGCGGCTTTCTCCAGGTGTTCACAGAGAAGAGCCTCCCCAGGCATAAAGCGGTGCCTGTCTCACTTTTCCTCCTCTCTGAAACAAACGGTGGCTGCAGCCCATAGCGCCCTCCGTTCAGGAGTGGGCAGCCCTGCTGCAGGGAGAAAGATAAATCAGGCGAGTAATGAAAAGACAAGGCCATTTCAAAAAAAATAATAAAATAACAACACTGGAGACAGTGAGGAACATGCTCATTAGTATTCATTTAAGCAACCTCGGTTGCATAACTTACCAGATATGCCCAGCTCTTTGTTTTCAGAGAATTCTGGAATCTGAGTGTGCTCCTAGTTGCTTAATGTGAAAAGAGAGAGCAGAGCTGAGTGAATCCACTAGAGTAACCTGCTTTTCCCCAAAGGGAAGCGCCCCGACTGAGTCCTTGCTAGAGCACATACTAAGTT